CTTGATCTCATGTTTGATCAATTTCAGACTGCAAATGGTGATAAAAATCTTCAATTTCTTCATCTTTGGCATTAGTGGTTGGTGCGTAAATTTGAATAATAGTTATATTAGCTGGTCTTCCTTGTATGCGTATGGATAATACTAAGGATGGATCTTGAAATGTCCTTTTTTACAATGAATGTGATGTCATTCGTCTTCAGTTTGTCATTCCCGGCATAGTAGACCATATGACTGTCCAATTAAAAATGGCCAATACCAGTTCATTTCAGCTCACTAATGCCTAAGATATCAACGTTTATGCGTTCCATTTTTGACAACTTTTCCTAGATTCATACTTCGTAAATTCCACATTCCGGTTATTAATGGATGTTTGCAGCTGTTTCCTCTCATTTTGAGTCATGCCACATCAGCAAATTAAGGTCCCTAATGCTTTACTCCATCCATGTGATTAAGGTTGACTCTACTTTGAGGAGACAGCTCTTCCCCAGTCATATTTTCAGTGCCTTCCAACCTGAGGGAATCATCTTTCTGCACTATATGAGACAGTGTTCTGCAGCTATTCATAAAGTTTTCACTGGCCAATTTTTTCCAAAGTAAGACCGCCAGTTTCTTCTTCCTCATCTGTCTTGTCTGGAAGCTCCACTGAAACACGTCCACCATGGGTCACCTGACTGGTATGTGAAATACTGGTTGTACAGCTTCCAGCATCAGAGCAACATGCAAACCACCACAGACTGACAAACTGACAATTGGTGGTATTAGTCATTAGGGAATTACAAATTAAAACCATAACGGGATACCATGACACACCTGATAGAATGGCTAAACTAAAAAATACTGACAATACCAAGTACTGGTGAGGATATGGAGCAACTGAAATTTGCACATCCTGCTAGTGAGGATACAAAATGTTACAGCCACTGTGGAAAACACTGTGGCAGTTTTTAAAAAGGTTAAACATACACCTACTATGTTACCCAACAATCTCACACCTAGCTAAGTATTCTACTCCTGGGTAAGTTTTAGACAAATAACTTATTTTTACCCAAATAACCTTAATGAGTGAGTGGATAAACCAACTGTAGTACATTCATACAGCTGAATAGTATTGAGTGTATTAGTTTCCTATGGTTGCCATAACAAAGTACCACAAGCTTGGTGGCTTAAAACACCATATAAGTGTATATTATCTCACTGTTCAGGAGGCTAGATGACAAGGTGATGGCAGGGCCATGCTCTCTCTGAAGACTCTAGAGAAAGATTTTCCTTGCCTTTTCTGGTGGCTGCTGACAATCCTTGGTATTCCTCGGCTTACAGATGTATCATTCCAATCTCTGCCACCATCATCACATGGTGTTCTCCCTGTGTGTCTCTGTGTTCAAATTTCCTCTTCTTATAAGGACATCGGTCACTGGATTAGGACTCACCCTAATCCAGTATGACCTCATTTTCACTGGATTACAGCTGAAAAGAACCTGTTATGGATTGAATTGTGTCCCCCTAAAATGTGCGTCAGCTTACCTAGGCCATGATTCTCAGTATCATGTGGCTGTCCACCATTTTGTGATCTGATGTAATTATCCTATATGTTGTAAATCCTAACCTCTATGATGTTAATGAAGCAGGATTGGAGGCAGTTATGTTAGTGAGGTAGGACTCAATCTACAGGATTAGCTTGTATCTTGAGTCAACCTCTTTTGAGATATAAAAGAGAAAATCGAGCAGAGAAGAGTCCTCATACTATCAAGAAAGAAGCAATGGGAACAGAGTATGTCTTTGGACCTGGAGTCCCTGCACTGAGAAGCTCCTAGACCAGGGGAAGATTGATGACAAGGACCCTTCCCAAAAGCCTTCCCCTGGAGCTGGTGCCCCGAATTCAGACTTTTAGCCTCCTAAACTGTGAAAGAATAAATTTCTCTTTGTTAAAGCCATCCACTTGTGCTTTTTCTAACACAGCAGCACTAGCTAACTAAGACAGAATTTGGTACCAGGAGAATGGGGTGCTGCTCTAACAGATACCTACAATGTGCAAGCAGTTTTGGAACTGACTAGTGGGTAGATGCTGGAAAAGTTTTAAAGTTCCCAATAGCAAAAGCCTAGACTGCCTTGAAGAGACTGTTGATGGAATTATGGACATCAAAAACAATTCTGGTGAGGACTCAGAAGGAAGTGAGGAGAGCTGTATCACTGAAGATGGCGAGAAGCAGCAGCAGAGAAATGGCAGCAGGAAACCAGCATGAGATGGTGTGGGAGCCAACCCAGGGAGTGAGAGAGCTGCGTACCTTTGTATGGTAGGCTTCCTGGCTGATTGGAGTGCCTCTGAGCACTTACCAGTGGAGCTAGGCTTGCCGACCTATGGAGCAGAAGAGCTGAGTGCCTTCCCACTGGGGTTTACTGGTGAAGTGGGGTGCCTCTAGGCACTTATCAGTACAGCTAAAGAGCTTTGGAATACTTGCCCAAACAGGGCAGAGGCCAGGCCAGCCCAAGAGGCTGGAGGGGCCGAGGGGCCAAGAGGCCAAGGAACCAGGAAGCAGAAGCTGAAGAGACAAGGAACACAGGAAAGAGTTGCCTCAGTCTCAAAGGGTAGGGCCACAACCTCTGGGGTCTCAAAGGGTGGAACCATGGCCTCTGGGGTTTCAAAGGGTGAGGCCACAGTCTCCTAGGTTTCAAAGAGTCAGATCTTTACCAACTTGTTCCCGGAGTGTGGGGCTGCCTTTCATAAGTGCCAGCGGGAGGGGGCCAGATCCACTGTCCAAAGCTGAGGAGGCAGTGCTGCTATGCCCAAGAGGCAGAAGAAAGGGGACTGCTGGGGATAAGGGGGTAGGGCTGCCACTCAGATGAACTTGGAGAGTGGGGCCACCCAAATGCAAGAGAGCAGAATTGCTGTTCCAGTGGGCCTGGAAGGTGGAGGTGAAGCTCAGGGCCAAGAGGCCTCCATCCAGAATCCAGAGACTGTAGCTAATACGCAGTGTCTGGAGGGCAGGGCTATTGCCTAAATGGTCTCAGAGAACAGAAGATTATTTTCAAGGCTTGAGAGCTAACGTAATGCGTTCTGCTGACTTGCTTGGTGCCTGTTCTCCCTTCTTTCCCTCCAATCTCCCATTTGTAATGGAAATGTATACTTTGTGCCTGTTCCACCATTGTACTTGGGAAGCAGATAACTTGTATGTAGAGGAATTTTGCCCCAGGACAGAGTTTGGACTTGGAGTTGATTTAAGACTTTTGGGATGATATGATGGGATGAATGTGATTTACATGTGGCAAGGACATGAATTCTTGGAGGCCAAAGGGTGGAATGTTATGGATTGAATTGTGTCCCCCTAAAATGTGTATCAACTTGGCTAGGCCGTGATTCCCAGTATTGTGTGGTTGTCTACCATTTTGTGATCTGATGTGATTACCCTATGTGTTGTAAATCCTAACCTCTATGATGTTAATGAGGCAGGATTGACTCAATCTACAGGATTAGGTTGTATCTTGAGTCAATCTCTTTTGAAATATAAAAGAGAAAAGCAAGCAGAGAAGAGTAGGACCTCATACCACCAAGAAAGAAGCACTGGGAGCAGAGCGTGTCCTTTGGCCCCAGAGTCCCTGCGCTGAGAAGCTCCTAGACCAGGGGAAGATTCATGACAAGAACCTTCCCCCAGAACTGACAAAGAGAGAAAAAGCCTTCCCCTGGAGCTAGTGCCCTGAATTCAGACTTCTATCCTCCTAAACTGTGAGAAAATAAATTTCTCTTTGTTAAAGCCATCCATTTGTGGTACTGTCCACCAAAATATTCAATTTTACTGTACCTTTTGATTTAAAAAATAACATTTAAACACATGCAAAAAACTGAGTTGGACAGAGTTCTGAAACAGAACCTCTTCATACATGAGAAATACATTCACTGTAGAAAAATCACAAGCAGCACTAGATATCTAAGACCCTATTTCCAAATAATATCAAATTCAAAAGTACTGGGGGTTAAGACAACAACATAACTTTTTGGGGAACATAATTTATAATGCTCAGCAATAAAAATGAACAAGCTATCGATACATACAGCTTGAGTGAATTTCAAATGCATTTTAAACCAAAAATCAAACCCACTGCCATCGAGTTGAGTCTGACTCATAGCAACCCTATAGGACAGAGTAGAACAGCCCCATAGGGTTTCCAAGGCTGTAATCTTTACGGAAGCAGACTGCCACATCTTTCTTCCGTGGAGTGGCTGGTGCATTCGAACCACTGACCTTTCGGTTAGTAGCAGAACGCTTTAACCACTGCATCACCAGGGCTCCTTCAAATGCATTATGCTGAGTGAAAAAGGTTATATACTGAATGATTCTATTTTTATGACATTCTCAAAAATACAAAACTATAGTGATGCAGTATAAATCAGTAGTTGCCACAGGTCACAGGTTGGGAAAAAGTGTAACTCCAAAGGATGGAATGAGATAGTTTTTGGGGTGATGGAACTGTTCTGTATCCTGATCATCATTGTATTTACAGGAATCTATACATGTTAAAATTCATATAACTGTCCACCAAAAAATTCAATTTCACTGTATATTTTGATTTAAAAAATAAAATTTAAATACGTGCAAAAAAGTGAGTTGGATGGTAGAGTTTTGAAACAGAACTTCTTCATACATGAGAAATACATTCCTTGTAGAAAAATCGTTGTTTTTGTTGTGTGCTGTCGAGTCGATTTGACTCATAGTTACCCTAAGAACAGAGTAGAGCTGCCCCATAGGGTGTCCAAGACTGTAATCTTTACAGAAGCAGACTGCCATCTCTTTCTCCTGTGGAGCAGCTGGTGGGTTCGAACAGCGAACCTTTTTGTTAGCAGCCAAGCACTTAACCACTGTACCACCGGGGCTCCTTGTAGAAAAATTGGAAAGTATAAATATGTAAAATGAAGAAAATGAACCCTCCCTCCCACAAAAAAATATGGAATAGTTGCAAGGATAGTCTAATAGACCAAGGGAAAAAGAATAAAAAATCCAGAAATATACCTGTGTGTAGAAGGGCACTTGATTTATGACAAAGATGATAGTGGAGAAAAGATGGTCTTTTCAACAAATGGTGCTAGGTCAACTGGATATCTATCGTGGTAAACAAATAATTTCTTTAATACGAATCAGCACAAAGCTGGTTCCCGTGAGACAGAGATTAAAGATGTCCCAGATTTCCAACTTCTCCGAGCTGCTGTACCACTCCATCATCTCTAACACCAACCACTTCCCCTCCCCTCAGCACTCTTCCTTCTTTCCCTGTTGGGTTCCGTAATTCGCTGCAACATCTCACAGAACTCACAAACTGTACTTACAGTTAAGTGGTTTGTTAGTAACAGACTACAGCTCAGGGTCCAGATCAACTTGGAAGTAACAGGATACAACTCAGGAGACAGGATGCAGTTCGTCAATCAGGACAGTTTTCAACCAGAACAGCTCTCTCTCGGCTCCTCTCTGTAGTGCTAGTAGACCCTTCTCTTGGCTGTGCAGGGCTCTCTGTCTCTGGCTACCACTGCAGCTGTCTACCGGTCCCGTGGTTCCCGCTGCTCACTAGTACTGCTGCCGCTGGTACTGCTGCCGCCATCCTATCGTTACAGGTCTTGACTTGTATTACAGCCCTTTTAGAAGGTTTTCTTCTCTCTCTCTCTGTCTCTAAAAAAAAAACCTCTGTCGGGTTGGCTGCTTATAAGCAAGCTGCTTATCAATTTCATGGCATGGGCCTCCCAACCGGGCCACAAACCAACCAATCCCCCGTGAGGTCACTTCTCAATGGATGGTTTTACGTACCCTATTCGCATAATAATCAACTAGCCAATTGTCCCAGCCAATCATCTTTGCCAGAATTATAAACCCAAGGCCAGAAAGGCTATATATAAGAGAAACAGATTGCACTGCAATTGGGAAAATAAATCTTGACCTTATGTAGATATAAATGTGACATATAATAAATCTAAAGAAAACACAACATGCCTTTGGGATAGGCAAAGTTTTTTTTTTTTTTTTAATTGTGCTTTAAGTGAAAGTTTACAGTTCACATCAGTTTCTAATACAAAAATTTATACACACATTGCTATGTGACCCTAGCTGCTCTCCCTGTACTGTGACAGCACGTTCCTTCTTTCCACCCCAGATTTCCCATGTCCATTCAACCAGCTCCTGTCCCTTTTTGCCTTCTCATCTTGCCTCTGGACAGGAGCTGCCCATTTAGTCTCATGTATCTACTTGAGCTAAGAAGCACTCTTCATGAGTATCATTTTATGTCCCATAGTCCAGTTCAATCTTAGGCAAAGATTTCTTAAACAGAATACAAACAGTACAAACCAGAAAGGGGAAAAAAAAGATAAACTGGACTACATTTAAAAAAGCAATTTCTATTCCTTAGAGTGAGTGAAAATGCAAGCCATGGACTAAGAGATGATATGTGCCATATGCAGAGCCAACAAAGGATTCACATCTAGAATATATAAAGTACAAATAAATAACTAAAAGACAGGCAAACCCTGAAAAAACTGGGCTTAATAGGCTTTTTCTACAGGAAAATAATATCCAAATGGCCAACAGACATTAAACAAAAGTACTCAACATCATTAGTCAGGAAACCACAATGCAATGCATATTAATGAACACAAAATGACAAATGCAAGAATGTTTGTTACATCATTATTTATGAGAACACAAACCTGCAAACAATCCAAATGTCCATCAGTAGGAGAATGGAGAATTAAGTTGGTATACTCATAGACTAGAATACTATTTGGTAATGAGAACAAATGAACTATTTCTACACACAATAATATGGACGAATCTCGCAAACATAATGTGGTACAAAAGAAGCCAACACAAAAGGGTACTTACCGTATAAATCCACTTACATAAAGTTCAAAAACAGACCAAACTGATGTGTGCTGGTTACTTTTGGGGAGCTACTGACCAGACAGAGCATAAAAGAAACTTCTGGGATGCAGGTATCGTCTTATTTCTTGATCTTGGTGTATACTACGTGGGAGGTTCCCTTTGTGGAAATACACTTGAGCTGTACAGTTTTGATTGTATTGACTGACTGTATTATCATGTACACACCTGTCTGCGCATATGATAAATGTCAATAAAAATTTTATTTCACAAATTATGGCAAATTTTGTAGAAGGCAAATGCAAACAAACAAAATAAGCAGCGGCCATAATCTTTAGCATATTAAAATACTAACAATAAACATATAACAGTTACTAATATCTATACAAAGGAGCCCTTGGCTACTAACCAAAAGGCTGGCAGTTCAAATCCACCAGTGGCTCTGCAGGAGAAAGATGTGGCAGTCTGCTTCTGTAAAGATTATAGCCTTGGAAATGGGAAGGGTGGGAGGGGAACTAAATAGGCAATAGATAAGTGGTAACTTTGGTGAAAGGTACAACAGTACACAATACTG